TTTTTTTTTTTTTTGTTAGCGGCTTTATGTAACTAAAATAATCATGTTAAAAATAACTATGTTTAAATGACTATGTTTAATATCACTTAGATCTAGAAACTTTGATCATACTATTTGTCTCTCTATGAAATGATATCCTTATGGTTTAGGGAAGAGATGGAAAAATGCTTTCAACATGCCATTGTTTGAATCTTCTATTATATAGCAAATTTGGATGGTGAAGATCTGCGGAGCCATGAGTCATCTCTATGAAAAAGACATGCAAACACAAAATTTAATCCAGATTCATAGAAAGATCTTGCCTATCTGGAAAAGCTGGATAACTACTAAGCAGCCTCCGCAGTGCAGAACAAAGTGCAAGCAGAGGCACTGCCCGTCAGTGAGACAGAGCCTCATCCCGTGTGTTATACGTGCGATCCCAACAAGCAAGGTTGCCTGTATCCTCATTATACTGATACCCCATAAGCTACCACTAAGAGGATAGAGCAATATCATCTTGTTACTGTGCTACTATTTACATCAAAGGTTGTTGCACTTGCATCATTCAGCTACAGGAGCTCTATCCAAACTGCTCATTACCAATGAGTGCTTTTTGACCCTAGCAGAGTGTCATTCTAATGCTTCTTTTTCTTTAGAAAGCAATTTAATAGAGATATATGAAACTAAGCTACTGGTTTCATTTTTTACCTTCTTTTTAATTTTTTTTCTTTAAATAGCAAGGACCATTTTTCAAACACTGACTTGATGCTGCTAGTGGTTTCTCATTTAAGCATACAAACCATTATCCTAGAAATGTTTACTTATTGCCTGATAATGTATCAAATTAAAGCAATTATTAAATAAATAAAAACTCAACAACTTATGCCAGATACTTGAGCTGAAGAAGGATATTTCAAATCACACCCATCTACTGGATCTTTTCTTCATACTTTCTATTTATGCAAGACTGATATAATTCAGTATATCTCAGTTTATTAGTTCTTCCTTCCTTCTTGCAAACTGTTAAAACTGCAGTTTCTAGAGACACTGTTTACATGTTTACTGAAGTACGAGGGCTGGAGGGAAGATTACAAACGATTTGAGTTGCAAAAAAAGCTTAATTAAATGAGAGTTATGTGAAAGATAATAGCAAACAAACGTGAAAAAGCATGTGCAGAGTTCAACATTTCAAGCTGCTTGCAAAATTACAGTTCCTCAGAACAGTTCCTGACATTCTTCTACTCTATGATATGAGTCAGAGACAAAAAAATGAGGATGCATAAATTGAAAAATGTAAAGTAGAAAATTCATGTGAGTAGTTTATAGCTATGCAGTTTCAAGTTACTGCAAAACAGGTACATTAACATGTCCTCTTCCTGTTACATCCTCTTGATTAGAACTGTTCTGCCTTCTCAAGTGTACAAAAACTTATGTATTTGCATGGAGCATATTAACCTCAGCATTTTCCCCAATATGAAAACACTATCAGTCGCTGTACATTCATGGGAATGACTTGCAGTAAGTGCACGTAATGATGCCTGAAATAGGAAGTCACAGGTTAGAGCGACCTTTCAGAACAGGCACGCTACCGTCTATTGGAAAAAGAAAGTCTTTCAAATGGCATATAAAATAACCACAAAGGACTACTCACCATGTCATATGCTGTTACAATCTTTTTCAAGACCTCCGGAACAATCCCTTGGAGCTCCATCGTTGGATACTGATCATTAAGGTTCAGTACTATCAGGGGTGCATTATCAGGCCCAACCAAGCGCGTAGACACTGCCAAAATGCACTGCATAAGATTTGCTACAGGAGAGAGGCCACATAATTCTTTGAATGAAACTACTGCATTCTGTAAAAAGGAAAGAAAGAGTTTCCTTTGCAGTTAACCATGAATTTCAATTTCCTATTCTCTCAGGTTAAGATATTCATATTTCACTGTTACCGTTGAGCTATAGTGCACAATTCAAGTTTTCCAAAGCAACCAGTGTGACATGTTCGCTATATAGTCTTCCAGAAACGTTAAGATTTCAAACAAAATTCAACACTTGCTGCAGAAAAGCTCTATTTAGAGGTAGGAAGCCTGGTATACATCACTGTAGAAATTAACCATAAAAATAAACGAATTCAAATTCAAAGTAATTATTAAAATGTCATTAAAAGTAACAAAATTTTAACTCCTGAATGTCCCAGATAAGCAAAGGGAAGAGGAAGGAGGATTCAGCCCATTTGTAACTTTAAACATACCTGCACTACTGTCCAGACGTGCTGTGATCTGCTGGCTCCCATTTGGTGTGACTGACAAACCCAGCACTCCACTACTGATGTCCCTCCTATCACAGAATCACACTTATGTGAATTCTTAAGGTACTTTAATATTAATACCAATTTTGTACCTTGCCCTATAATTTATTATACTTGTATTTTATGCCGTATGATAGAATATAAAACAAGACATTTAAGCTTAAAGGAAATTTCAAGTACTATAACTATAACGTGACTCCAGGTAGCCACTGAAATTCCATGATGGGAATGTTCTCATCACTGAAATGAATTTAAGATTTTTGTACCAAGTGGGAGCTGGTGATCTCTGGCAGGTCTGGAGTTTGTGTTCCTGTAAGAAACAAAGACAGAAAAACGGTGTACTTAAGTTACAAATGTGCTCAGTGCTCCTCTCTCTTCTGCCTTACCCAAGCAGAGTATCTGACAAGTTTTGGGGACACAAATTTTCACTTTTACCAAAACTACTTTCCATCTTTCAGGGATGGTAAAGTTTATTTTTGGACAAGGGTTTTTAGAGACAAAATCTAACCTTAGTGCAAATAGGAATCAAAGCTGTGGTTTTTGTTGCCTTTTTTTTTTTCCACAAAATGCACAAAACTAACTTCAAAATATCCATATATTGTATATTCATGCAAATATGCTTCTGCATGGAAGGTCCATGAAAATGAAAGTACTTCTAATAAGTGGACTAATCCTTAACAACACAAGTGATGAAATAGTGCATTTTTGTATCATAAAAATTACAACAATTGATAATAAAAAGGTTCTTTGACTAAAAAAATTAAACAAATTTTGAATTCCCTGACATACACTAGTATATATTTTGACTGGTTTGCTTACTTCTATCAGTTTGAATCACTGTTAATACAGAAACCAGATTATGCACATTAGACAATCTCCTAGTGAAGTTCTTCAAATTAGTATTTCCTCATGTGCATAAAATATCTTCTTGGTAGCATTCTGATACAGGACCTTGATGAATTTTGTTCATTGCATATCTTTCAAACTGACAGAACAAAATACATAGAAGGAAACACCTTCCAATACTTCACATCCAAAAAATCATACTACAGCACATTTTTTAAATTACATTGATTCTGGAAAACAACATGGCGCACTTGACAAAGAGCTTAAAATATGTACAAACATTGTATGTTTTCACCGTTTCCCTAAATTCCAGATCCAGCTTCTCCTTGCAAGATATCTTAAAAATACAGCACTCTATTACAGAATTTTACCTTTCAATAGATTAATTACAGATAAAATTCATTCTATAACTAGCTTCTAATCTAAAACAACTTTAAAAAAAGTTTTTAAAAATGCATTGTTCTATCAACAACGTCCTCCTCCTGCATTTCTATTTAACCTTCTGAAATTACAGGTTAGCAATACTTTCTCCAGTGTGTATCTAACGTGCCCTCAAAGAACCACTCCTTGACCGCGGCAGTCAGACGTGTATCCAGCACCCTCAGGAGAGGCCGTCACAGACGTACGCAACGGCCTTGACATCCAGCACTGGAGGCACATTCCCAGCTCCCCGTCAGGACACCACGTACACGCACCAAAAGTCACATCAAGAGATGGTATCAGCAGAGCTAAAATGCTCCTCTGCTACAATCACTTCTCGAAGCTGTTCAACATCACAATTCATTAACATAACTTATAAAATACATTAAGACTCTGAACAGCGTACATGTGCATCATAATACAAAAATACATATAAGGATTGATAAGATCACCATAAGAACTGTACCTGCATATTTTCTCTCAAATCAGTGGCATCCCGTATAGGTTGAAGAGCATTCTTGAACACTTCATCTATGGTTTTTATCCATAATGTTCTCATAGAGGCATATTCCCTTGACTTCTTGCCCTTCCTCACAGAGAGGCCCCGTTTATGAGGTTTCCCACCACCCCTTCGATTCGTAATGGCCACGTGCACAAAGAGGGAAGCATGTGCTAAGGTTTCTCCAGTTAAAGACTGCAGAGGAACGTGGCGATAACCAGTCTGTAGACATTCAAAGGGAATAGTGTATTGCCCAATAAACTCATCCCCAATATAATCATCGTCCAGTACTACAAAACGCACCATAGCTAGTTCTGGTAGATTTATTTGAAATTCAAAACTTTCATCAAAAATTGGATTATCTCCATTCTGATGCATAGTTTTTGTCCTTTGCTCTGCACAGTCAGCAGGGATTCCATGTATTTCTACATAGACATAAGGATCCACAACATCACCTTTGGCACCTGATCCTTTGGGTTTAGGGAAGTTCTGCCCACTAATAATTTTAATATGAAGCAGCTGAGGCGAAACTCCAGGCACAGTATCTTTTGTATTTGCACTAAAGAAGGAGACTTCTTCTCTCATGATGGCAGGGCGAAGGACGTAGCCACAGTTTCCATTCTGTCGAAACCAACCAATGTTAAGATCCATCATCAAGCCAGGTGTTTGAAAGTTCATTGCTACTATCTGACAACCGCACTTCCAAAAATCCTGTGGATTCATATTACTAGAGTCAATCCTCATAGGGCTGGGAAAAACTCGGGCAAGGAAACGTTTGTTATAATTTACAAAGTCTCCTGGGTTTTCATTGGCATATTTACTAGCAAGCACTTCATTAAACGAGCATACTTCCCAGTACTTCTGGAGTTGGAAGGAAACTTGAAACTCTTTGAACTGAACAGATTTACATATGCTTACCAACTCGGACAGCTCTTTGCAGAGCTGAAATCGTTTCCCTGTCATGGAGTTTTGTTGTTCTACACCCTCCTTCCCCACCCTCTGTGACATTTCCGCTCCTTCGTCTTCGTCTGTAACATCTCCCTCGAGCCCAGAGCAATTAGAAGAAAGCTTCTTTGCTTTAATTAGTATTTTCCCTTTAAGTGATTCAGGCGACGGAAGGTAAGACTCTTCTATGTTTGGAGACTGTGTATGTAGTTTGTCCCCCAGAATTTTCTTCATGTGTTGAACCATCACTTTTTGCTGCTTAATAGAACAATGATTTTCTAAACATAAAATAAGAGGGTATTCTGAAGCAAAAAATGCATATTTGTTAATAATGTCAATCACACTGCGGAAGACGATCTGGGAAGTCATTGTATGTCCTGTGTAAATCACAGGCTCGTTGTCTGGTCCATCCCACACGTCCAGCTCAACACTTCGACAACCCATTTTAAGGGCGCGAATGTAACCCGTGATGTCAGACGGCCCTCGAAACTGGTCTTCTATCAAGTAGGTATTATGAGATGAATTTATAAAATAATGAGATAATGGCTGTTTCATATCTTGGCAAACTTTTTTGTGCTCTGGATCAAATATGTGGCAGTCTGGAGAAGTAAGGTAATTAGTAAACCCATCTATAGAAAGCCAACCCTTCTCCTGGCCATCTTTGGCTGGTTCGTAACTCTGAATAATTTCAAGGCTTATTTCTTCCGTGACATGTGCCATACCCTGTTCTGCTTCTAAAAACATCATTAGGTCCTTGGTATCTAGGAATTCTTTATTGCTTGAAAACTGAACCAACAAGAAGTAGATTTCAGGTCGTGTACAAAGCTCATGAAAAACTTCAATAAACTCTTCCTTTGTTACTTCTGTCCCACTCTTTTCCTTGGATCTGTGCAACTCTTTGAATTTCAGTTCAATTTTATTTGTTTTTAAACCAGGACTTAAGTCTTTTATAAACTGTACAGCATTACACAGGGGTATATGTCCCAAATTATCTACATCTGATTCACTGAACATTTGTGAAACCCATGAAGTCCGCATATTATCTTGACTACTTCCTATCATATCTAGGGTATGTTTTCCGTAAGAAATCAGGTATCTTAAGCCAGTAACCCAAATATTTGCAATGTCTGCTGAATTAGCAACAAGATCTAGTGACTCATAGTTATCTCCATAAATAATTGAAAATGCACAGTCTTCTGATATCTGGTCATATATTCCATTGCTGCGAAAAATATCTGTATTTTTTCCTGTTCTTACTTCTTTGATTGATTTAATGTCAATCTTTGCTTTTTCAGAGTCCTTTTTTGAAGGTTCCCAACGCAGAGACTGCATATCTGCATCTAAAAGAAAATATCGGTGGTACACCCTAGAGTTGGAGCGAATCTTTTTGAGTTCAGAGCCTTCAACCATTGCATTTATACAGTCACTTGCACTGCTGATCTTCTTCTCCGTTGGCATACTGCTAAACGACACGGTCTTTTTCCGTTCTCGCTTTTGTTTCGTACCGTCTCCTGGTAAGTAAGGGGGAAAAAAAAAAGAAAAGAAGTATCAGTATGATTTTGCTCAACACTGAAATAGGTTTTAACTTACGTCTGAAAGTTCAAAAAAGGAGTTCAAAAGAGCCTGACATAAGCATGATGACCAGAAAGACTGAAGTTCTCACATGGCAAATGGAAATATTGACCTAATAATAATGACTTTATAACCGTTCTTTCCTATACAGATAATGTTTCGGATTTTATTTTTAGTATTTCAGAAGAACATAAAATCAAACAAAGCAAGTTTTAACTGCTAATTAAATAATAATGTTCTATAAACACACTTTATTTTACTTGCAATAACCTACTCACAGAGGTAGCGGATTCTACAGCCAAGATACTAGGAAATAACCTTTTTTGTGAGTCTGCCTTTAGTCATACAGTTATATGCTAAACTAGCTCCATAAAATTCAGAAGTCCAAATCCAAGCACCCAGACATAATAGCACTTGTTAGGTCAAGCTCCCTCCTCTGCTGCACCCATCCACACACTCCCCATATACTCTGCAGAGCATCACTACATTTACCTACATCGCTACATTCACCACACGCCCATATTCGAAAAACCTCCATGCTATTTCCGTGTAGTTACCAAGCTACATCGAAACACAATGGAATGGGCTGGAGCAGATAACTCATCGTATATTCTGAATTTCAGGAAACATGACAGTGCGCTGAGAGGCAACAGTTTGAGAAGATTAAAGTTTAACTGGTTTCAGAAAAGCTGTGCATTATTAGAGAGAGGAACTTAAACAGAAAACTGCAATGCTCAGTTAGGAAAGAAAGCAAAAGTAATCAAGCTAGTTCTTTAAACAATGAAATAATCCAAAGTTACTGGTTTTCTAGAGAAAATATTGGTAAAATACTGAATATGTAAGTGATTAAGCAAAACCTGTGTATTAGAAGATAATGCAATAATGTCATTTAGCTCGCTACATTTGCTGTCTGTATTAACTTCAAACACATGAAAACAAGTCATTGCTTTCAAGCATAATCCAGTATACTCAGATACAACCGATTCCATGAGATACAACTGAATTTAAGAAATTTATGTTCATTTTCATTAGCTATGTTTTTGAGATTTAAAAATATACATTTTTTTTAAATGGTCTTGAGGGGAAGCTTCAGCTGACTCCTAATCCAAACAGCTGGTTCTCATGAAATAAGCTTTTTTATTTTCAGTATCCTGTTCAGAAATGTTCTTCAACTGATCCTCCTGAAGTGCTCAAAAAATCCATTTTTTCCAGATTTACACAAAATGACTCTAGTAATTTTCCACTGAAAGTATGAAAGTATGTTCCAGTGCATCCTACTAAGAAAAGAGGCATCACTGAGAACAGTCATCAGTTGAAAAAGTATATGTAATATTTGAAGTTCCATTTGGGGGAAAATTATCAGGCACATGATTGCTGTACCTTTCATAACGGCAAAGTATGCTTTTGGCAAGCTCTCAAGAACAAAGAATTTCATAGAGGACTGTTTTGTTTCTAACTCCAGATCAAATGACTGCAATGGGTATTTTGTGGAGTTAGCTCTTGGATTCTAGTTACATGTTGTTTCCACATGAGGACTGCTTTTAGGCAACAATACAAATTCTGTTAATTGCAAAAAAAATGACTTACAAATGTGGTTTTTGTTTACAAAGACTTGTTTCCTTTTAAACCTGTTTTTTTCATCTTGGGTAAACCTGTTTACCTGTTCATCTACATCTCCTAACGTGCAAGAGTGCCAAAAGACAGCCCCAGAAAATTGAGCAACGAGGCACCCATGCAGTATTTGAGGCCTCTGAATGAAGCAAAGCAGCTTGATGCTCCAGGTTTCTCATAGGAGAGGAATAAGATCCTTAACATCTTCAGGAAGAGACAAATGATGGATAATCTCCTAATACCAGAACTGTCAAGGCCAGGGAAGCAAAACCTCGCCTGACCACAATCAGCATTTTCAAAGCAGAAGGAACGTCTAAGCTTTTCTCACTGATCAGGACCTGATCTGGATCTGATTAAAGACACCTAATGGCAAAGAGGAAAATGAATCTGCCACTTCTGCATGGCATCTGATGCAAACAGGTCCATCTCAACACAACACCATTCCCAAGCACAATTTCCTAAAGACTGGGGTTTGCACTGGTGGATTAGAGGCATAATGCAATCTACCATCTGCCAGACTATCTTGCTTGCCTGCCAGTTGAATTAGAAGCCAGTTCATCAGTTTTCTGCATCTCCGCAGGGCGCAAGGATTTCTCAGCTATTTGCTTTTTCATGCGAAGCCTGCTGGCAATGCTGACATTACTTGCTGAATGTGATGACTCTGAAGACAAAATACTCTCTAGATCTCACTAGAGCTCTGAGTCTCAGGGGACTGATTATAGAGCTTTTGCTTCTCCAGAGATCACTGATGCTGAGCTACCAGACTGCCTGTGTGCATCCCCATCCTCAGGGACATATCTGTCAAGAGAATGCAGAATACATGTAAATAAAAGAGCCAAAATGATGTCTTCCTAAAGACGCTGGCTGAAATCGTGCAGCAAATAAGTAACTGTCTGCCCCCAAAATAAATTCTTGCTCACAAGCTGAAAATATAATTAGTTAGGGCATGCACAGATGAGATAAAGCCAGGCTTGTAAGCCTCAAAAATACACTTGGGCATGGAGACCAAAGAAGATATATATTGCTATAAGACCTACACAACTTCATCCTGAAAGTGGGGTAGCCTCATGAACTAGAATGCATCTTTTATGGACAACCTAAGTCAAAAAGCTTGACAGGCCACAAAACTGTGTAGCTGAAAGAACTCAAAAGTGACTTCTGGGCATTTGGCATGAGACTTATGGCGCTCTTTTGGCTGTTCAAGATGCTCGAAGTCAGACTGGCTCCGCAGTGTGGAAGCATACTGCTGTCCTGAGCAAAAGCTACAATTTTTGAGGTGAAACATCTTTCAGAGCTATTCTAGGATCTCTCACACAATGCAGACTATATAAATCTTAGATTATAGAAAGGTAGCCTCATCACATAATTAAAGACTGCATATCCTTCAGAAGGCTTCAACATTTAAATCAGAACTACCTCATGAAAACAGTGTCTAAAGCCATGCCTGCCACATCCAATGTCACTTACAAAGAATTTTAAGAAACAGACCAACTGATGGGTAAAAATGTTGTGAAATATTTGCTGGTACCTTTTATGAGTGACAATGCACTGAGCTTAGCTCATCCAGGAGTTCGTACCAATTTAAATATCTACTATTTTAAAAAGTAGAAAAACAGCCCAGCTAACATGTATTGCACTGAGAGACAAAGACAACTGAAAAAAAAGACAAGTGCACACAAAAGTACACAAGAAATTCTCCATGATGACTTTTATTTTCTTTTTTTAATTCCTTTCAAGGTAGGAACAAAGAAGTGATTATGTGAAAAAAGAATTCTGGAAACAATGGAGAGCCAGGAGCCGGAAGCCGAGAGATGTACGTGGCAACTGGATAAAAGCTTTTAAATACATGCAATTTTGTGATAAATTTAAAAGAGAAGTTCTGATAACCACGGGTACTGCTGAGCACAGTGGTGCAGAAAGGTATTTCATAATGTAATAGAAGGGAGAGGAAACAACAAGTAGTGCAGGGCTTGCAAACATCTGCTAAATAGATGGATGAAGAGCGAACTTACAGGTAACACGTCGCTTACTAACTGTAAATAGCTGAATAAATAATGGCCCAGAAGATAACTGTGGAGAAAGCAGTACTGTGAAAAGCCTTCATTGCCCTTTTTAGTGAAATGCGCAAGTATTGCTCAGTATAACATAACTGCAAAAGGCTTTACAAACCCAAGATGGGGGCTACCATCCACATGCAACCAGGACATAAAAACAAGCATTACAGTGCACAGAATGATCCTCACATCAGGCAGGGCTAAATGCTGAGACGGGTGCCTCCTACCCCATCTTTCCCCAGGACTAAAGCAGCTACCTGCAGCTTTAGTGTGGAAGCTGGAACAAACCCAAGATGGGGGCTACCATCCACATGCAACCAGGACATAAAAACAAGCATTACAGTGCACAGAATGATCCTCACATCAGGCAGGGCTAAATGCTGAGACGGGTGCCTCCTACCCCAGGACTAAAGCAGCTACCTGTAGCTTTCATGTAGAAGCTTGACTAAATAGATTTGAAGATTAAGGCCTCTCTCTGCAATTAGCCCTCTAAGGTACTCCTTTATCGGCAGAAGACTTTCCTTTATGAAGGAAAAACAACTGGAAGTGAAAACTCCTGATGCCAATAGACTGTGAACATCTCATCTGCTGACTCCTGATGCGAGATGTACTGCAGCCCCAGAGCTGGGACCAGGCCACTGAATTTTGCCCTCTCGAGGGAATGGCCCCTTCCCTCCCTCGGTGGCAGATCACGTTGCTTCTTGCTTCGGCTCTAGCCATGCAAAATCTCCCCTCGTGGCTGCGTGTGAGGGGCTCGGCAGCACGCGGGGAAGGCAGCTCCGGAGAACCTGTGCCCAGGACAGGAGGAGCAGTGACTCTGCAGGCCTGGGGCGCAGCGAGACGGCGATGCCCATGCATACAGGCAGTAACAAGGGTGCGCTTGTCCCAAGTTTGCAGAAAGCTCCTGCATCGATCCCATTTTTTTGCATGTAAATTCTGAATGAAGAGAGATGTTTGCGGGTCCAAGCCTCGGTGCCGCAGCAATACTCTGAACAACTTTACAGTTGGACCTGATGATCTTGAAGGCCTTTTCCAACCACAACAATTCTGTGATTCTAACTGCTGGCCATAGCTGAGTCTCCTTAGTTATTTTTCCAAAATCACAGTACTACTTAACATCATCTAACACAGAACTAAGTTGTCAAAACCCCCCACCGTACACCGGTGGGAACGGTGTGAGCTCGGGTTGTTGCTATAGGCGCAGAAACTCTGCAGAGCCCCGCGGGGAGCACGCGGGCTCCGCACCCCCGACCCTGCGCTCCTCGCTGGCC